ACATATTGCTTCCCATTATTCTCTATGGGCATTGTGTCGATTACCTGTCATTCCATAGAAAAGAGCTATAATCCCAGTTACTTTTAATTTTATAATCTACTGCTGTATTTGGGGAACACCTGTGGCAAAGGTTAATTTGCTATGTAACACAGATTTGCCGACAAATTAGTTTATATTTTACTTCCCATTATACTCTATGGGCGTTCTCTTTAGTCATTCACCCTTGTCATTCCATAGAAAATATTAATAATCCCACCTAATCTCAATTTCAAAAATTGACACTGAATCTGGAGAGTATGTCAGCAAAAGATTTATTTCATATGTCTAATAGTTTTGGCTCTCATTGAAATATTTTGTTTCCATTATTGTCTATGGGCATTCCTTTTACTTCCATTATTGTCTATGGGCATTCCACTGCGTTGTTAAAGTCTATGGGCATTCCAATCTGTCATTCCTTTTAGCAGTGGGTGGTTAGCAAATGTAAATTGCAATTTGTGTGTGCCAGTGTGCCAGTGTGTATCTGTGTGACTGTGTGTGTAGGTAAGTGTGTATCTCTGTGTGTGTCTCTCAGTGTGCATGTGTAGGTATGTGTATATATGTGTGTCAGTGTAGGCATATATTTGTGTGTGTGTGTGTTATTTACTTTTTCGTGCCTCTGTGTGTGGCCACATATGTGTATAGCCTTCTATCCCCTACACTAGAGGCCCCCTATTCTTTCGCCAAAGCCCTTTTCACCCCGCCACCAGTGCCCCACCCGAGATTTGGTTCTGGATCCGCCCCTGGTAGTATGTTTCATTTATCTACTATCTTCACCTGATAGCTCTTCTTTAATGAAATCTGTGATCTGACATTCTGATATATGGGTGCTCTGAAGAGTCACAGTGGGCCATTCTCTGTAATCAGCCCAGGTTATAGCTTACCAAATATAGACTCATTATCAAATGCTTATTAAAATGTAAACATGTGATCGCCTGATTTTCCTTTAGGAACACTGCGAGGACAAATTTGCTTGCAAGAACGCCAAAAATGATTCTTTGGCTCTCATAGCCAAACACTACTTGCAAGTTTAGACTTGGCTGAAACATTAAGACCGTGGTTTGAACTTCAGGTCATTTAACACTCACTATGATTCAGTGTTTTATGAATAAACATACAGTATTATTTGCTAAAGTGAGGATTGTAGAAATTCAAAGTGAGTTTGAAAAGTAGGCCGAATTAGTGGAGCTGGAAAAATTATCAAAGCCAATTATGTTTTCAGTTCATCTGTTTTCGCCTTAAATTAGAATTTTACTTTGTATTTCCAATATTTGTCACTTTAGTGTATAACCCAGTGAGTGAAAGCAAAGTCTGTACTATCCTGTTTCTTTGGGTGTTTTTTGTTTTTTTTGTTTTTTTTTATACCATTTACTTCAGGATGTAGAATCAAATAAATTTACAGTATCTGAACCATGCCACATGTTTAGTTTCTTGTACATTCAATGAATAAGACTCCACAAACAAATCCCCAGATTGGATCATTTCTGCACACATCTAAGGGTCTTTTATTTGTCTGTAGCAGTTGAAGCTCGATTGTGCACAAATGTACTTTACACTAGAGGGTTTAATTGCAATAAATTAAAAATCAAAATGCAAAATGTGGACAAAATAAGTGATTTGGATAAATTCTCCAACTTTAGTTATGGTCACAGCTTGGCTAAGTCTAAATTCATTTCCGTTCAGTTTTTGATTCACTGTAATTCTGGTTTTCCCCAAAATCTTAATATAAGATTTATACTAAAGGACCCTGTCTGTACTTAAAATGGCTCTGTCATCTTTTTTGTATATTTTGCCCAGACCCCAAATGGTGACTGCTCCTTTTGTATTCCAGTGGCCACGGAGGGCATCCAAAGGTAGTTTTTACTTACTTGAACCTGTCCCTCCTGCCGCCATCTTTTTAATTAAAGGTCCTTTTGGCGATTCATCTGTTAGGGGGCAAATGTTATCACAGGGCGTGAGAGTGTAACAACGATGTCTATGTTAGATACCGTGAGATTGTGAGATCCTCCATAGAGAGCTGCCACTTGGCAAAAGGTAGATCCACTTGTTTGTCAGCATAGGAAAAATACACAAGACAAAGCCCTTCTTTTTCTTATACATAGGACTAGCGACTACTTTTAATTTATATCTTTTGACAGAGTTGGAATTACAACAGAATTTATGAGTATTTCATAGTATGAGTAAATTACGAAGTACATTTGCTACCTAGTTAAAATGCCAAGCATTCTCTTGTCTTCGGGTTATAAACAGCTTTTATTCTTTATTTAGGATTTTATGATTACAAACAAGAACAAAACAGTGCTCAACAGAAATGCAAGTACATATTTAATTAAACAGTGAAGACTATGGATTCCAACCTGTCACTAGAACAGGTCAGCTAAAAGAGGGTGTTTAAAGTGTAATATTAAAGCCATAATCAGTAGCCAAATATGGTCCTGGTGAAAAATTAATGAAAGTATTTAGATAATTGGGCAGAGTAGATGGGCCGAATGGTTCTTATCTGCCGTCACATTCTATAAATCCATTATTGTTTTTTTTTTTTTAAATCTTTATTTTTGTGTTGACATAAGAGTTAGCCAGTGAAGTACACCGGGGCTTGTGCAGAAGCCTAAATTAAGCAAGGTGTCACACAAATGATTGTACATAATGAGGAGATTATACATAACAGTTATGCATTGCTCAGAGGTGTGGCGCCGTGTATGCAGTCAACTTTTTTATATTTTATATAAACAGTGGAAAACAGTAAAAAATTTCACAATAACCATAAAAACCATTGGCTCTGCGAGTTCAGAGGGAGTTCTTATTGCTTTCAGTAATATGAATGTGTAAGCCTCTTTGTAAGTGAGGGTACCTGTGTTTTCTTGTATGCCCCGTGTGATAAATTAAAAAAATTAAATTAAAAAATGTATTATTATTATTGCCATTTATATAGCGCCAACAGATTCCGTAGAGCTTTACCATATTATAAGAGGGGGATTTAGCTATAAATAGGACAATTACAAGAAAACTTACAGTAACAATAGGTTGAAGAGAACCCTGCTCAAAAGAGCTTACAGACTATAGGAGGTGGGTTATAAAACACATTAGGACAGGAAATAGCAATCCAGTAAGGTGAGAGAGTAGAGTGCTGCCCTTTAGGAGAGAGCAAGAGACAGGTATGTGAGGTAGAGGTTACTCTGGGAGGCCATAAGCTTTCTGAAAGAGATGGGTTTTAAGGCACTTCATAAACGATTGAAGACTAGGGGAGAGTCTGATGGCGGTAGGCAGGCTATTCCATAGGAAGGAAGCCGCCCGTTAGAAGTCCTGCAAGCATGAGTTGGCCGTACGGGTGCGAAGGTCACGGGCAGAGCGGAGAAACCGAGAAGGTGCATTCCTATGGATCTGCGAAGAAATATAAGAGGGGCTAGAATTGTTCATTGCTTTATAGGTATGGGTTAGCATTTTGAATTGACTCCTATAGGATAGAGGAAGCCAATGTATGGACTCAACTAATCTTGATTGATCTTGAATATGAGGTTTAGATTATTGAATTAAGTCTTAATAAGTCTTAAGAGAGTCCCCCAAAGGTAGGCTTCAGAGCCAAAACATTGGGGTTTTCATTTCTCCTGCTCTTGGTCAGTATACCTTTTTAATGGGTGTTTGCATTTAGCACTTTATTGTTATTGTGGTTTTGGTATTATAGATTGGATGTGCACTACTCTATGCATTTTCTTTTTGTCAAAACTTATTGATGTATTTCTCAATGCATGAATAAACGCTTTTTTTTATGTGCAAACCTTGGTGTGCCGTGGGATCATTATTATTTCTATTATCAAGTCTTAACCCTTATTTTCATGTCCTTGACCTGACTATGTACTTATTTATTTTCTCTTTTGAGTATTGTGTTATTATTATTATTATTAATATTTTTCTCTAAGGTGTTTCATCTGCATTGATATAAAACAGATGAACTTTACGTGGCAGTTGTATAAATTATTCCCTTTTTAGATTAAATCATAATAAAAGTTATATTTTAATCATCTAGGACCCCACACTTGCTCAATTCTCTTAATTTAAGGGCTCAAACTCCTTGGTCCAGTGGTAGACCTTCTCTCTATCATCAAGCATTACATTGATATTGTGGCAGACAAGAAGCTGTGTTCTGAGATATCTATATAAAGTGGTGAGACAGGGATTTAATCAGATTTTCTTGACAGAGACGGTTGTCTATTAAAACTTTAAAAGGCAATAAAAGTGAAATCAAGTTTATAATTCGTTTTTAGACAGATATTCACTAAACCAGGATTTCTGGAGAATTGACAGGGGAATTTCAAATTGAAAGCCAGAATAAATGAGCTGAGAAAATAGCTGATTTGGAGAATTTCTCCAGTTTCGTTACGCTAGCCTAACTAAACCCACGCATTTCCAAGCTTCATAAACAACAGCAAGACTTGACCTAGTGTATCCTATAGATTTCTCTTTGAGAACACAAATGGTTCTGTAAAAATAGCACAAAGGGTATTGGCATCATTATTGAAATGTCCCACCTTCCTTGTCTAATTGCATATCTCTGTCTCAGACATGCTAAAGAAAGCTGAACATTGTAACTAACAGGTGTATGCCAAATAAACTTCCCATTAATGTTTTATTAAACAATCTTTGCGTATGAGCAAAAACGGTAAAACAGTTATATAAAAACAAAGAAAAAAAACTGTCGTGCAATATGGCCATAAAAAAGCTAGTTTTGACAGCAGTTACTTATTCACATCTTGATAACAGAGGTGTGTCAGGCATACTAGCTGTTCCTACGTGCACCCTAATGCTGAGCCTTTTTGTCCTTCCTGTTTTCAGTTAGGGTCCCAAACATTGTGCATCAGTATTTGTTGCTCATTATCTGGTTGACAAAAACAAAAAATGGAGCAAATTGACAGCAGTTTTTATACATATTTTATTATCAAAATATTTGGGACATTTTGGGGGCGGGGCCTAACAGTGATGGCGACTGGACGAGTTCTCTTGGGGCTCCTCATGCATGAAACATTTTAATCTAGTCGCCCATGTCCTTCATGATCCATCTTAGGCAGCTTGAGATCTCTAGGCATCCTGTCTTGGTCGACTGGCTCGGGGTTGCTTCCAGTAGTTATTGTCTACAGCTTGGACAGGGAACTTCCATGCTTGAGAGTGAGGCCTAGTAGTAGCTGTGGTAGGGAGCAGCGGTCAATCTCCTATCCTGGAGCACACGGGCCTGACACACCACAAAGCTGATGCCTCGCTACTCCCCCTTTGGACCGGCGGTGGTGATCTCGGTCCCTACCCTGAGGGTCCCTGCACTACACGGGACACATGTGGCAATGCTGACACACTATAGCTCCAAAAGATTTTTAAGATAGCGGCGGGCGCGTGTCCCCTGATTCAGCAGGGAGAACGGTCTGCCACTAAATCCAGGCTGGGCACTCTCTTTATGGCTTAATGGAGGAGGCTGAAGAGAATGCAGATTCATCCTGCCCCTAAAGTCATCGTGACACCCCTCGAATCATCACAACGAGCTCCATACCACTCAGTAACCCTTACCGTGGGCTCAACACGACGGAGATGGCAGAGGCCTTGTCAGAATCCCCAGAGAAAGGCAGTATGCAGGCGTGCATCGGCCTGTTATGGGGGAAATGCTCAGAGTGATGGTATGCAGAGAGGGAAGCAGCTGCAAACGCAAGAAACCCGTCTGACATCTATACATCCAAGCCTGCATTGCACTACTATGTGGGACTATGAGATACCCGCAATGGGCATAGACTGATTGCCATCTCGAACCTCTTGCTCCTTATAACAGCACAGTTTGCTGTTTGTTACCTTAGCATGCTTAATCGGTTTACTGGACTAATTTAAGCCAGGCCCTAAACTTGAGGTTTCTTCTGTCCTTACGGTCTTGCAATAGTAAGCTGTATAACTCTTAAATTGGATGGCCCTACTTTATCCCTAGGGCTCTCTGGGGTGGTATATTCTGCTAACAGTTAATCATTACTATGTTTATAGATAAGTATAAGTCTACTAGCTTAGCCTACATTTTTAGCTAAGACATGTGAGCCTAGCTTGTTTTATCATTTTACTTCGATATCACCATGTCAGGACAAATATCCACAGTTTTAATAATTCAGTATAAGCTTATACCTGGCCTACTTTATCATGTTTCTCTTTACTTTATTTTACTTTAAAATAGTTTAATGTATTTACATGCCATGTATATGTACCAATATGTATGATACTGAACGCCTGTCGATGCTGTCGTGGCATCACAAACTTGTCCGTAATTACCCGCACTGCAAAAATAAAGAATTATTTAAAAAAAATAAATTGGTATATTTAAAAAAACATTTTTAAAACTACTTTAATGTTAATTCCATCCAACCTGGACAGCAATAATTGGCCCCGAGAATGCATTTAAGTAAAATGTACCTAGTGGTTCAAAAAGAGGCAATACTGTTTCAGTTTATTTTATGAATAAAATTAAATTTTTGATTGAATAATATTCACCTGTTTTATAAAAGAAATATAAGCTGGCTGCACACCCTAACACAATAATTTCAAGCCTTGCCCTTATTGTGTTGATAGCGTACAACTCCCAGAATTGTTTGAATGTCTGTAGATGGCCAGAGAATCTTGGGAATTATAGTTCAGCAATATCTGGGGCGATGGAGTTTGAGATGCCAAGGCTAATAAAATGTGTAGAGCACACGCATACTTTTATTTAAATTTACATTTATCAGTCATCTATATGCTGTTTAATATATCCCCAGTGTAAAGTGCAATAATGTTTGTCGTCATTATAAAATGTTGATAATAAAAATGACTTCTGTAAATGTTTTAGATTTTATTGAAGTATGTCTATCAATCCTCATTGGATAATGCCTTTGAGAAAGGCAATCACCTAAATTTTTTGTTTGTACATAATAAAATGTTGTTATTGTTTTGCCTTTACCAAGTTAAATTCTTACAAACACTTTTTCTGTTTATTTCATGATTAAACATACCACTGCTAATGTATATACCATTTAGAAAGACGGGAACCTCGGGCCACGAGCACACAGTACTATTTCTCTTTTCCGGGAATGTACTGCTGCAGGACAGAGGCTGCCTCTTCTTTCTCTCTCTCCTTTTCTAGTTATTTTCAACCTTTTGTCCTGATTTGTACAACTCCAGTTCGCAAACAGCCTAGACTAGCATTTCCCAATTGGTTTTCCGCTGAACCCTAGGGTTCTGCGAGAACAAAATTTTGGTTCCGCGGCATTTTGCCACATCCAAGATGGATGCCGCTACCTGCTGTTCCCGGAAGGTGGAAACAGCAGAGATCGCGGGAGTGCGAACTTAAGCCCGCCCTGCTGTCTAGGGCCCGCCTTGCCATCAGCCAGTCACTTAGCTCGGTCTTGAGAGAGCCCGCCCAGCCGTCAGCAAGCCAGCCCTGCCGTAAGCCATTTTCAATCACTCGTGGTAGAGGAGTGATAGAGAATGGATCTGATAGTTAAAGCTCTGTTAGGTAGGGACATAGAAAGCTCTGTTAGGTAGGGACATAGAAAGCTATGTTATGTAGGGACATTGAATTTCTCTGTTAGGGACATTGAAAGGCTCTGTTAGGTAGGCACATTGAAATTCTCTGTAAGGGACATTAAAAGGCTCTGTCAGGGGCATTGAAATACTTTGTCAGGGCATTGAAACACTCTGTGAGGGGCATTGAAAGACTCTGTCAGGGACATCAAAAGGCTCTGTCAGGGGCATTGAAATTCTCTGTTAGGGGCATTAAAATGCTTTGTAGGGGACATTAAAAGACTATGTCAAGGGCATTGCAATTCTCTGCAAGGGACATTAAAAGCCTCTGTCAGGAAGGCAGGTATGTGGTCCTGACGGGCACGCTTCACTCTAATACGTACCACATGATCAACGTATATGCACCCAATGCTCCCTGTAGGGAATTCTGGACTGAACTAGAAACACTGATCCTAGGCCTTCCCAGGGGAATTTTGCTGTTAGGGGGAGACCTAAATGCCACACCATGCCCAGCGATAGACAGGGATGGAGGCCTTCGCCTACCCAGGTCCTAGAATAAAGGAGGACAAGACATACTCCTGAGCACCTTCCTCAACCACAAGGGCCTACTGGACCCATGGAGGATCCAACACCCGAGCGTACGGGACTACACTTTTTATTCGGCAGTACATGCTACCTATTCCCGCATAGACATGTTCCTTGTCAACCCGCTGGCCATGTCATGGATCAAAACATCTGACCTGAACCTCATTTCATGGTCCGACCATGCTGACATCGCCATAACCCTCAAACTACCAGGCCCCACACGCCTTATGGAAATGGAGACTAAATGCCTCGTTACTCAGAAACCCCCATACAAAGGAGGCAATCCAAACCGAGATCACACGTTACTTTCAAGAAAATGACACCCCAGACGTATCTCCCACTACACTATGGGCGGCCCATAAACCTGTGATTAGGGGACTGCTCATTAAAACAACCACACACTTAAAAAAGAAAAAAACTTGAAAAGCTATTAGAGCTACAGAGGCTATTGCGTAAGACCAAAATGCAAAATAAACAAAGGGCCACCCCACGCACAACTAGGGAACTGACAGACATTAGGCGACAACTCAGAGAGCTCATGTTAGACGATGTAAGCAGAAATATGATCCGCACCAAACGTTTCTTTTACAAAAAATCCAATAAAATGGATACACTGCTAGCTCGGGCCTTCAGACCTAAACGCACAGAATCCAACATCACCGCCATCAAAGACACACAGGGGCGAATTCTTAACAGTCCTAGGGACATAAACGACGAATTCACTAAATTTTATACCCAAGTGTACAACCACTCCCCAACACTTACAACAGCAAATAGAACACACATGGAACAAATCGCGGATTTCTTGCGGAAAGCTAAACTGCCGCGACTACCAGCACACACAACCGCACTCTTAGGAGCACCCATAGAAAATGATTAAATAAACAGAGCCATCACGGACCTTAAAGGGGGTAAAGCCCCAGGCCCAGATGGGTTTGACGGCTCCTACTACAAAACCTTCAGAGAACAATTGATCCCCCACCTAGCCACCATGTACAAAACCTGGACGGAAAACGACTCACCTAACGTTGACCTCTCCACAGCAGACGTAGTCCTAATCCCCAAACCTGACAGAGATAACACTAATGTGGCAAACTATCGCCCCATCTCCCTCATCAATTTTGACCTTAAAGTGTATGCAAAGATCCTGGCCACCAGACTCAATCTCATCCTTCCTAAACTTGTCCATGCAGATCAAGTGGGCTTTGTCCCTAACAGAAAACTCCACGGAAACACGAGACGAGCAGTGGACTTAATATGGTGGGCTAACAAGAAGCGAACGCCTTCTCTGGTCCTATCTTTGGACGCAGAGAAGGCTTTCGATAGAATTCAGTGGCCCTACATGTTTGCTCTCCTCGAGGAAATGCACCTTCCCGCCATGTTCATAAGGGCGACCCAAGCTCTATACACTGCCCCAAGAGCGCACATGCTAATCCCAGGGTCATAGCCGGTTCCTTTTGAACTGAAAAACGGTACCAGTCAAGGGTGCCCCCTGTCCCCCCTCCTATTTATTCTGGCTTTGGAAGCCCTACTGCATCTAATAAGAACAGACAGCAGGATAAAGGGGGTACAGGTTGCAACTGAGGAATTTAAAATCTCGGCATATGCCGATGATATCTTACTTACCATTACAGACCTTAGAGAAACTATTCCTCATATCCTCAATATTCTAGACACGTATCAACAGGTATCTGGATACAGAATCAACATAGACAAATCAGTTGGTATGCCGATAGGGCTCTCAGACAGACATCCAATGGCTGCAATGTACAACAGCCTTCAAAATTAGCACACAACCCATCAAATACTTAGGTGTCAAGCTCACGCAAAACTACGCGGACCTGTACACAGAAAACCACCAAAGACTAATAAACACCCTACATAAGGACCTAGACAGGTGGAATGACAAGCCCATTTCATGGCTAGGAAGGTTGCATGCCATTAAAATGAACCTTCTTCCGCGCCTCCTCTTCATCTTCCAGGCGTTACCCATAGCAGTAACTAAAAATGATCTTAAACCACTACAAACTGCAATAGCCAATTTCATTTGGGCTGGGAAGAGACACAGAATAACAAGACACACACTGTATACCCCAAAGTGCAGAGGGGGTCTAGGGTTCCCAAACCTATACCTCTACTACCTGGCAGCTCACCTAGCACAAATCATAGAATGGCACTCACCACCAGACACGCACAGATGGGTTGACCTAGAAACGCACCTTATGAGCACCAACCTACCCCAGTACTGGATATGGGTTCCAAGACCCGACCACCCAGAGCTACATACCTCCTGCCCTGCCATCCTAAACTCAATTCGGATCTGGAATGCTGCAGCACACAAATATGCTCTCACACACCCTATCTCACCACTGACACCTTAACTCCGAAACAAAGCCTTTCCCCCAGGCATGATCCGTAGGGACTTCCGAGGCCTTGAGAACACGGGAGCACAACTCCACTGCCACCTATTTCAGGATGGAACATTTCACACCTTTGATAACCTAAAACCCAGGGGTCCTCTAACCAACAAAGACTACTTTCGTTATCTCCAACTTCGAGATTTTGCTAAGAAACCCAACATAGCAGCAACGGCCAGAGTAAAGCCCACGTTTTATGAAACACTATGTATGTCCGATGGACCACGTGCCGGCCTCATCACTCGCCTATATGAGCAATTAAGCCCACCCACAAAAGAATCCCAAACACCCTCTTATATATTGCAGTGGGAAGCTGAACTCCAACAAACCCTAGATAGTGGGGATCAGCAAGACATATGGGAAGCAGCAACCAAGTCCTCAATATGCGTCATTCACCAAGAACAGTGTTACAAAACGCTGATGAGGTGGTACACCACCCCCATCAAATTACACAGAATGGGTAAAACACCCTCAGATGTGTGCTGGAGAGGCTGTGGGGGCAAGGGTACGTACCTCCATGTGGTGGACCTGCCTGAAAGTTTCCCAATACTGGGAAAACATAACTAAACTCTTGACAGAAATATT